ACATGGCAGCTCAATTGGTTAGGCTGATTGGCTCATAATCTCTGATTTTGTCAGATTGGTTTTGAAGTTGGATAGTTCGCCGTATATGCGGAGTTCAGACAAGATATTAGGAAGCGATGTTCTAGGGTTTTGCACATAAGAGGATGTCATCGGCATATGCAGCGAGTTTGTATTCCATGGTAGAGTGAGAAATACCCTGAATGTTGGGGTTTTTCCTGATCATAGCTAAAAAGGATCTAGAGAGAGAATGAACAACAACAGCGACAGAGGGCAACCCTGGCGTGTGCCATTATGTAGTTGAAATGAAGGGGATAAGGTGCAGTTTACCCGAGATCCATGCTAGCATCCGAGGACCAATCCCCAACGTTTGTAGTGTGGCGAACATGAAGCTCCAGTCTACTCTATCAAATGCCTTTTCGGCGTCAGTAGATAGTAGTAGGACTGGAGACTTCTGAGCATTGGCCAGGTGAATCACGGAGACAGATTTGAGGGCGCTATCTCTAGCTTCCCGTCCCGGAACAAACCCAACTTGACCTGGGTGTATCCAGTGGGGGAGAAAGGGATTAAGCCTGGTGGCCAGGATTTTTGCATATCGTTTGGTGTCCACGTTTAACAAAGAGATGGGGCGGTAGCTCGAACAGCTAGATGGATCTTTACCAGGCTCGGCGAGGATTGTGATATGGGCCAGTAAGGATTCTGGGGGCATGGGTGAGTCACCTGCTATTGAGTTTACATATCGACAAAAGTAGGGGGCGAGGAGATCTTAGAAATGTTTAAAATATAAAAGTGGGAAGCCGTCTGGACCTGGGCTTTTGCGTAGGGGGGTTGATTTTATAGCTAATTTGAATTCCTCAAGTGTGATGGGTGATTTTAGGGACTGTAATAAGTGAGCGTCTAAGGAGGGCAGACCTGCGTTATGTAGATAGGAAGCGATCAGCGATCTTAAATATGAGATCTGGTGGCGGAGGGGAAGACGGTTCAGACCGTACTTTGTAAAGATCTTGGTAATATTCCTGAAATACCACAGCTATGTCAGCCGTGAGTGGACCATGGAGTACCGTTTGTTTTTAATTTTGGGCACATAGGTGTCAATGTGTTTAGACCTCAATGCTCTCGCCAGGAGTTTGCCTGGTTTGTTACCTAGCTCATAAAATTGCTTATCTACTTTAGCGAAGGCTTGTCTAGTGTCCGATTGCAGGAGCTCTCGGAGGTGGTTCCTCTGTAAAAGGAGTGTTTGGTACACCGTCTCATCAAGTGTAGCTTTGTGAGATTGTTCCAGGGAATGTATTTCAGACAGTAATGAGCGAATCTGAGATATACGATCTTTTTTACGTTTAGAGCCTGCCGCCACTAAGACACCTCTCGCCACCGATTTGTGCGCTTCCCATAGGGTGGCTGGTGAGACCGAGACCGAGCCCTCATCATTATCACTAAAGTACGAGGCAATACAGGAGGATAAGTGACTTGTAATGACCGTATCATGAAGCAGGGATTCATTAAGCCTCCAGTTGTATTGACGATGGGGGTGCATTAAGTGCATTGAGCATTACAGAGACCGGAGCATGGTCACAGATGGTCATAGGGAGGATCTCAGTGGACGCTACCATGTCCAGGAGGAAATGATCCAAAAAGACCATATCCAGCCTGGAGTAGGAGCCGTGCACTGAGGAGTAGTGGGTGTAATCCCGTTCTTTAGGGTGGAATATCCGCCATAAGTCAACCAGCTGGGCCCCATGAAGTGTCCTGTGGATAGCATTCATGTGGGACATATTGCGAGTATGTCCTGTGGATGTGTCTAGTATTGGGTCTAGACTAATATTGAAGTCTCCAGATAGAATCAGGTGGCCCACGCGGAAATCATGTAATTTGCCTAATATTTTCTTGAAGTATTGAGCTGGGGAGGAGTTCGGACAGTAGACATTAGCCAAAGTATACGTAACCCCATATATCATAACATGGAGGAATAGGAATCTGCCCTCTGGGTCCACAAGGCGATCAGTGACTGTAAACGAGACATCCTTCCCAAATCCGATGGCAACCCCTCTGCCCTTTTTAGTGGGTGAGGTGCAATAGTATCAGTGGGGATGATGTCTCGAATGCAGTCTAGCCGTGGAGTCATGGGAGATGTGCGTTTCTTGTAGGAAAACCAGTTCAGCTTGCAATCTCTTTAGTTCGGTTAATACCTTATGTCGCTTAGTGGGGGCATTCAAGCCCCTGACATTATACGTCACTAAGCGAAGGGAGGTCATTGCAGAGGTAGGTATAAGGACTCAGCAAAAATAAGAGAAGCCCGGCTAAAGGAACATAAAAAGGTGAGGTGGCAGACGACAATTGGAGGAGGGACATGATGACATAAAACATAGAACAATAAAACAGTAAAGTGCGTGCAGAATATAGAGCCATCCGGCGCCTTGGGAGAGGCCACCTAGTGGGGGGGGTAGGGCAGGGCCCCAGCGACGTAACCATAGTGGCCATGTCTGTAGCCAGAAAGCACCTGTCTTAGACCCCTGAGCAATCATATAAATGCATACAAATGTATAACTGTGTTACCCAATAAGAACCTGGGATGAACCTAGGAACAAAATTGTTGTAGTCCCAGTAGATCCATGGAAATAAAAAAAAATATAAATGAAAAGCGAAAATGAGAAATCCAAAACGAACAAAGAGTAAATGGTTACCGTAGACATCCCATAACAGTGTAGAGTGGATTACCCCTGTGGAGGGTACATCCCAACGAAGTGGAAGTGCGGGTTTCCTCGGTCAGGAAGAACCGGTTCAATCACGGAGAAAAAGAAAGATGGGCCCGATGGGGTTGCTGGAGAAAGACCAAAATAAGGGCCAACGAAAGTGGTGAGCCATTGCAGGGAGCCGAGGAGCCTGGACGACCTCAGGACGAGGAGGGGATGCGGAGCCTCTCCTCGGAGTGCGCCGGGGTCTTGGGGCCCTTTGTTGCCACTGCATCGGGGGTGGATAAGCCCAAGTGGAAGCGGAGTCTGACCAGCCTGGCAGATCCGGTGGTGCGATGTCCAACCTCTCACAAAATTTCTGCAGGTCTTCAGGGAAGCGGTGGACCGCTGAGCGTCCACCCTTGGACCCGATCAGACAGGTTGGGAAGCCCCAGCGGTAAATAATATAATTGTCCCTGCTCCTATTTTCCTGGTCTTCGAGCTTACAGAAAGCTGAGTGTATAGCTGTATGGGTATGCTCACCGTGTGTCTGAAGTTCCTTGATGGCCAGGGCATGAGCATCCAGTCGGCTCTCTACCTCCTCCATCCGCCGCATGGCGTGCGACATCTCGGCCCTCACAGAGGAGATCTCAGACTTGAGAGCACTCGAGGCGGGAAAACATCTATTTGCTGGGGAGAGTTTTAGCCAGCATGGCTACAGACATCCCGGAGCCCCGATCAGAGTCCGTTGAAGCCGCAGATAGGGGAGCAGGAGCCCTCAGGCGGACGCGAGGTAGAAGCAACTCCATAGCAGCCTCTGGGCCTCCCGACGTGCGTCTCATCTCAACGGCCGGAGAGAAGGCTTCCGGTGTCCAGAGGCGTGTGATGGTGCCGGTTTTTGGAGTTGCGGCGGACCGGCGAGACTTCTGTTTCTTGCGCATGATATGGAGGTGAAGTGGCTGACCGAAGGACACTTTGAAAAGGTGGGTAACAGCGAGATTGCTTGGGGTGAGAGACGGAGCTCGGGCTAGGCACGTCTACTCTCCGCCATGCGCAAACCCTCTACCGCGGTCTTTATTGTCATTTCATAGCTATTCCTCTTTAAAGCCCCATGCAAAGACCCAGCCAGCAAAATCTACCTAATGCAGCGTCCTGTGATGGGGTGGCAACAATGCTGCACTGCTCCTGAATCCAGAGCAGTTTTCACTCTCATGTAGCTTGTCAATTAGCACCTGGCCACACCTAGTCCTGCCCACTGCTTTGTGGGTTGACAGCACTGCCTCTGTTGCTGAAACCCTCTCGCTGTGAGCTGCAGTGTCTTGGAGAGGGTGCATGTAAAGGAAAAAGGAGGATTTGGCTCAGTCAGGGAAGGTAAAGGGAGTTTTTGTTTGAGGCTTGTGCATTACATACTAAGGGGATTTGGTATTTGTTTAGACTGTCATATGAGAGCATTTAGTTGTACTTTCCTCCCCTTTTGGTCTGTACATTTTATTTTTTCTGTATTTATGTGGCATTTACGTATTGTGCAGTGTTTTACAGAACATGCTGAACCTTTTCACCTTATTCCCTGCCTCCTGAAGGACCTCATACTCTTGTACACATAAGCAACAATATGAGTTGGCAGCCAGTTAAACTACTGTTACTATATATTCTTTTTGGATTAATTGCATTTGCATACAAATGCCATTTACCTGGGAACCCAGGATCCAGAGCTGCCCAGGATGTTCTGCTCATACCGAACATCACTATGCTTGTAGGCTTTGTCTTTTAGACAATAATTATTGTACGTACAATAATACATTTATTTTACATTGTTTTCCTGAAATATTCCTTTGTCCCTAAAACAGTAACATACTTGATAAAAATGTGTGTCTGCACAATAACTAGTTTCCTGTAGAATTCCAATAATCCACGAGGGTTAAAAGGTTTTTCAATTTTCATTCAGAAAGTGTGAAACCCCCTCACTGTGGGTCTAAATGTTAAACGGCTGGAGCGTGTGAGGAGCTGCAAAGCAGCATGAGATCTTGGAGCTGCCAGTCTATCCGTATCTGCCAGTAACCAGTCTGTCAGACACCACTGCCCTTGGATACCGAGTTGTACTTGGGTGCTTTTGCACTGCATTATAACATCTTATCAAGGACAGTGGACGTAGGATAACCCCGAATTATCTGTTTTTAGTGAAGAGAAAACAAAAATTAGTTTTGCATGTAAAAACTGGAGAAATAATAGTATTGCCATTTATCATCGCTTGCACTTTGATGTTTAAGCAGCAGAGACACAGCGTTCAGATTCTCTACAATGCATAATGTTTCAATGCCATCTTTTATTTTACAGAACACTGCTACCTTTTAGACTGTCTGATGTCATCAGATTTGCAGAGTCTTTTGGAGCAATCAAGCCAACACTTCTTACAGATCACCCAACAGCACCGCAATTATGTTGAGGATTTCTTGTGTCCGGATGGAGAGAAGGTAGATGGGAAAATGATAAACATCAGATGATCTTATATTTTTCCAAATTAATCTGCACTCTGACTTTTTAGAATCAGGACTCGCATGTACTGCTTGATATTACACTAAACCAGGGCTCTACAAATCCCCGGCGACATCTCGATATGTTAGAAATTGCGTCATGGCACTTATGCTTTTGTGAGCCCATTCACTGTCCCCTGCCGCCTATTCTATGACCGCATCAGCTCTGCTCCTCCTGTTCTCCTCTGCGCTGGGAGCCCGCTGCATGCTGCGGTCTGTGCCCCCCTTCAATCCCCGCTGCTCTCTCCGCCTTTATCTGCAGAGGCAGTGGGGATCGGATGGGACACAGACTGCTGCAGGTGGCGCCCAGCGGGGAGGTGAGGCCGGCTGTCCGCCTTTGTGACTGCGTGCGCCCAATGTGCCCCCTCTTATGATCAACTGCCCGCCGGTCTCCCATCCAGCAATAGCCAGCCTGCTATTGGCTATTTTAAATTGCAGTAGCCAATAGCAGGCTGGCTATGGCACCTGCTATCAATCAGCAGAGGAGCGAACCTGAAGGAGAACAATCTCCTTCAGTTCCCTTCTCTGTTGATTGACAGCAGGCAGTGGGCGGGTGCCATAGCCATCCTGCTATTGCAATTTGAAATAGCCAATAGCAGGCTGCCTATTGCACTGCCTCCTGTGTTTATATTCAGCTGCCTCAACAGGCAGCCGCTATTCCCCAATTCCCCAGCTAAAGCTACTGAAGTGGAAAGGTGACACTTGGGGTCTAATAGACCCCTAATGTCACTTTAAAGAGAACCTGTCATCTCCAAAATGCTATCACATAGGGGGCTTGTGAGCCATACTTACGTGACAGCAATGAAGTTCTAAGAGAACTATGGGCCAACCTTTTTTGGCCACAGTTCTTTTCAGGGTCACATAAGGACATATACTAATGTTCTCCAGTGACCCAAAACTCAGTATGTAGCAGGCTATATTTTATTCAACTTTAAAAAAAATAAAGTTAAATAAAATTATAAAATACCCCCAAAAATGTAAGTCCCCCGCTCCCACAAACGTGCGCATACTAATGAAAACACAAGTCGGGTGCACCTATGTAGGAAAACGATGATTGTTCTACACATGCCGGGTATCACCACGTGTGCCAATTAAAACTGTAATTAAAAATTACAACTGTTGTTGAAAGAAAAACTATATTTAAAAAAAAAAAGAAGAAAAACCTGGCTCGTAACTTTTTTAACTGGCTCCTAGATTTAAAGCAAATTTGTCAAGCACTGTGCTTAAACTTAGATGGTTTACTAAATATGTTGAGATACTTGCAGATGAGTTGGAAGATACCAATAGACACATAGTTACATGACACATTTTTGTATACATTTTATACAAGATTGTAGTGACTAGCATGTGTTATTATTACAGTTATTTATTTAGTGCCAACAATTTACACAGAGCTTAACATACTGCACATTCACATTGGTCCCTGCCCTCAAGTAGCTTACAATCTAAGGTCCCTATTGCACACGTATACAGGGCCAATTTAGACAGGAGACAATTAACCTTCCAGCATGTCTTTTGGAGCTCTATATAATCTTACAATTCTATTCCTGAGAAAATGTTTTGGAACTCTTAGGTATATTCTAAGTTTCTTCTAATGTGTGATCTTCAGCAAGTCTTGATAAAATTAGCAGTCATAACATGACTATACCATTACTGGAAAAAAAATGATAAGATAACTTATTGAAGAAAATATGAACGCTTTTTTTGTAGCTATTGGAACCTTCTTCATTGGCAATAACAATGACATGGTAAAGCTTTTTGTAGCTGCTCATTAGGGTGATGTGGTTAGTAAGTATTTTGGCCAATTCTAGTATACAGGACTTCAGTTCATGCACAGTACATTTATTTTTGGATTGAATGTTTGTATGTCATGCTTAGATCCCTGCACATCATTGCTCCAGGACTGAGGTAATCTCTATAATTAGGAATCCCCTCTGTTTCAGCTGCTCTGTTTAATTTAATATTATGTTTTGGATAACGTTTGTGTCGCAGGACCTGGCTTATTTTGGTTTTATATTACAGATATCCTGGCATCCTTTAGTAAAATACACATTGATTGGTCCCTCAGTGCTTTAATGGAAATTCTACTTTAAAAACAATAAATAAATGAAAAAAACTTAAATAGCATATATAATTCTTACACAAGCCATTTTGTAATTTAATGTTCTTAACAATTACCTTTAAAACTGCAGCCGCTCTAATTTTCTAAAACTGACGTAAAAATTCAATACAATATGGCCAACTATAAGCGTTGTGTATGCAGCTAGTGTACAGAACACCCCCAGAAATGTCACTTCCTGCTTCTGTGATTGGCTGACTGATTTTGATAGATGTCTGCACTAAGATACAAGTAACATTTTAGGCATTCCTTGCAATAGGAATTTCATTTTTGGTGACAATGGTGAGATATTTCCTAAGGGTTAACTACTTCTAAAGGGATGCAGAAAGTCCTCATTAGAACACAGAAAGTCCACTAGCTGCTTATAACCTTCACATCTAGGAATCATTTTGGAAAGGACATAATGAAATGGCTTTTTCTCCAGGGCAAAAAAGGTAGGAATCTGCATTAAAGGAGATCTATGAGGTGAGTAATCTTCACTCATCCTCATAGTTAGAGCCTCTATCGATCGGGAAGTGAGCAGAAACATGCACGATCTGCTCACTTTTTGATCGTCTCCCTGCAGAGAGCAGTGACTGTCTGTCACCACTCCCCGCAGGGATTCCCACCTCCCCCTCTCCAATCCTCCAGCGCTGACTGACAGGGGAGGGGGTGGGTACAGCTGGCTCAGCCCCTAGCTTGGCAGAGCCAGTTGTCACTCGTGCAGCGGCGCTCACCCACGATATACTGAGCTTTGGGTCACAGGGGGCGCTAGTATATGTCCTCCCGTGACCCTAAAGAGAACTATGGGGAAAAACACTTACCCCATAGTTCTCTTTTAAAGATAGTTAAAAGCCTTGTAATGTACAATGATCACAAGGGGGATTGGTTTTTCTCAACACAAGTGGAGTTACTCTTTAATCCATGCTGGATGTAAAATATCCACATGTCCTTTTAGTCCCCCCCACTGTGTGTCACAGTTGGTTCTAGATTTTGCTGTTGGTGTGCAGTGTTTATTCTTTAAAAAAAAAATGTTTTATTAAATGTTCCCTTAACATGACTCCCATGTATGTCTATCGGGATGTCCAAAGTTTGTCTGCTATGTCTATAGATCTTGGTTATAGTAGTGCTCTGGGTTTGAGATGATGATTGGGTTTTTCCCCCCCGATGACTCTTCATTCATAGCCTCCCCCTGATTTTTCTTATGGTAGACTAATGAACATAGTTGTTATGAAATGTGAGAAAAGTGATGCCTATTTGCTCAGTAAATATATGGCAATGTTAATGTGTGTGCCAACCTAAACATGTCATGAGAGACACATGAGGTCTGCTACTGCCTTACCAGTTGCCGAGTTGCTAGCAACCAAGTTATTGTGCTGACCCCACGTAATTTTATTCTCAAGCTAAAGTGTTCTGACTTCTTTTAAAAATTGTTGCTGAATCCCTAGGAACAACGTATATTAACTGTGAAATTTTAGTGTTGTGTGACTGTATGTAATCAAATGTGCTTCCAAGCAGAATAAACACATATAGATCAAATTTCAATTTATTTTCATGCAAAAAGTAATTATTCTGACAAATCTCTTATGATTAAGCTAAAGGACGCCAATGTAGCTCCCTGCTTAGCGTGTTCATGTGTTTTGCTCGCAATACGGAAAAATCATTTTATGGTTTACATTTAAATGTAGTGTCTGTGTTTACACAGCCTGGATTTTTGTGACTGCATGTTTTTGTCACTTTTCTGTTACTGATCTGTTACCTAATATCCAGTTGTGCAACCTTAAATTAATGTGTTTGCCAGTAAAAAAGGCCCACCCAAAGTGTACAGCTCTCCACCGCCTATAAACAGCGAGACCCTGCTTGAACCTCGGCTGGATTTTTGTAATGCTCATTTTAGAGTCCCCCCACGTCCCTCACATATTTTCAGTGCCTTAACTTTATTCATCTGCCTTTGCTTTGAGGCCGTAGCAGGACTTCCTATGAAATTGTTTAGCACTTTTCTAGCAGTAGTTGCGAAAAAAAGGGAGTTTAATGCATTTTCTTTAAATTTAAGTAAAAATTTAATAAAATGCACTTAAGCATGAGATAACAAAAAAAAAAACCAACATATTATAGCATGTGTATAAAAGCATCCGAAATGCTGCAAGAAAGTGGAATTCCAGGGATGTACAGTGGGGCAAAAAAGTATTTAGTCAGCCACCAATTGTGCAAGTTCTCCCACTTAAAAAGATGAGAGGCCAGGTAAATGAATAGTTGAAATACGTATGTGGGAAATGTTTTTTTACTTTCCAAAATATTTGTAACTTTGCATAGCCGCGATTGTGACTCCTTCCACACTGCATGACCAGAAGAATAGCGCACTTTTCACTTCTGCAGCACTGTATCTACTGCATCACCTGGCTGCTCATTGGGAATGAGTGTTATCACATTCATGAGGTTATATCTGTGGGCTCCTCCTGTAAGCTGCCTAAAACCACCTCCATGTTCAGCTTCTAGTATCTGATTAGGGGTTTGTAGGAACAGCATAAAAATCCAGATATTGTAGAAGTTAAGAGAGCAGTATATTAAAATAATTTAATTTTATCTTTTAATGAATGCATAATAACATCCCACTCAGTCTAATATTTGCAGTGCAGGGAGTTGTGGGAAGATACTATAAATATAGATTTTTTGGAAATTAAGAGCTGTATTAAAATACATTGCAAAGTTCTGTATTTTCTAATGACTACATAACTGCACTGAAGGGTGTTTGATTTTCATATATTTATAGAGTTGTTTTAAAATCTATTCGATTTCAGATGTGTAGACATGCTTTAAAGTTAACCTGTGACCAGGCTATGGATATTTAGGTATTCACATATTCTTTAAAAAACAGTATATAAACATTAAAGTCGTCATTGACCTTTGTAGCTTCGAGCATTGAGGGGCAATTCATCTTCGAAGTTCACAGCAGAATCTGTGAAGTCCGTTCTCTTAGCAGGTTAGGTCACCCATCAAGAATAAATGTAGGCATGCAATAAAATAGATGGAAACAGAGGCACTGTGAGCCCCTAAAGAAGGATATATCTTGACAAATGTGCCTGAGAGCAAGCAGAGAGCGATGCACGTTTTTAGCTTGATAGTAAAAGACATCGTGTGCTTTAAAATGCCTTAAAGTGGAACTAAAGTTGTCAAAAAATTGTAAGGAGTTCGATTTTTTTTGATAGAAAAGACACAAATTCCCCTTGCTCCTAGCAATTTTTTATATGTATACTTCCTGTGGTGCGTGTGCATTGCAGACTCCTGGCTCCTTCCTGGAACCTGTAGGATGCAGAGAATGATGCCTGGTGCGGGTGCAATATAACTCCAGCATGCATCATCAGTGGCTGGCCAATGGCGAATGTGGAGAACAGTGGATCTAGAAGACAACCAGGAGAAGATGGTAGCAGTGGACGGAGAGAGGGTGTGCTGTCATGCTGCCGTTGAAAGGCACACTAGAGTGAAAGTTTTCTGTAATTTGCATGTATGTTGCGCATACTTGGCTATTTTAGCAAGAGCCCTCCACCCTGCAGACATTCATGTTCAGCTGTAAAATACCATTTCCATCCAGTAAAAACTGTGCTTTCTGCCCCTTAACCCTTTCGCTGCCAAGCCCTCCGGAACATTTTTCAAATCAGCTGGCCAAGCCATTTTTGAATTGTCTGCAATTTTTTTCCTATTGATTTGATTTTCACCTGCTGCGTTGCTAGCGTTTGTAAAAGACCCCCCAAACCATATATTTTCTGAAAGCGCAGGCCCGGTAGAATAAAAAGATGGTGATACTAAATTTGTAGGCCCTGCGATAAAGCGGCTTGTGAGCCGCTGATGACAGCTATTAATTTAAAGGGGACAGTCTGCTGAACAGTTCTACTATAAGCTGATGGTCGCTAAAGCGACCATCAGCTTATAGTAGAACTGTAAATGCCAGGTCCGTATGGCATACTGAGCTGGCCAGCTGGAAGCACTTTTGTAGGTCCGTATGCCATACGTCCTTGGCAGCGAAAGGGTTAATACTCCAGGACTGGCACAGCAGTGTAACACTCATTCCCCTTAGTACAAATTTCCTCACACAAATTGGATTTGCAGAGGAAGAGGGGACTGTGTCTGTCAAGTTCTGTTACCGAGTTCTGATTACTGAGCACACGGGTTATCTGTTATACTGCAATCTTATTTATTTGGACACCCTGCACTCCTTCTGTAACAGAAAAATGGAGATAACTCAATGAAAATGGAGGTTGTTGGTACAATGTCTATCTCTCTGCATCTATTTCTGTGACTTCAGTTTTAAACAGGTAACCCAATGACAGTTGTCTTAAGTGGTCCATTAATATGTTGTGTCATTTTGCAGATAAACGTAGATGGTGACTGCGTTCTTCACATTCCACTCTACAGAGATGAAGATTCGCAGAAAATGCTGCTCTTGGTAAACCCCCAAAAAAAAGACTCAGGTAGCTTTCATATGAAATGGCTATGTATGTACCCACAACCATCATGGCATCACTGCTTGTACCAGGGGTAGTGAATTCAAATTCAAAAAGGTTATGCTTCAGGGGCTGTAAACAGAAAGGCGCCATGCTACATGTCTGGTGGCTGTGTCCAGGGTTATGACCCCTCTGGAACAGGCTGTTTGCCCTGCTTTCGAGGATTCTCGGGGTCCATATTCCCAGAAATCCACAGTATGTATTACTAAATAAACCAATCCCGGACATCTCCAGAACGCAGGGCAAACTCGCATCCTTTTTCTTTCTGGCGGCTAAGATATCAATAGGCCGGTCCTGGAAAGCTGAAAAGGTTCCATTCTCTCTAGTGCTATCTAAAGTAAATTGGATCATGATCCATGAGAAATTATATAGCATCTTGCAGGATAGCTACGCAGAATTTGAAGCAGTATGGGAGCCCTGGCTGAAATACCAAGAGATCTCAAATGCATACAGCATAATTTCCGAAGCCCTAGCTTAAGCATATAGGGTCTGCTGCTCAGAACCCAGGAAACTATAATTTATGCCTTTATTCTATATATAATATGATTTTTTTTTTCTTTTTTCCTTTTTGTCTGTTCCCTTCCGTTTGTATTTTTCCTTTTTGTATATTAAAAAGTTTTCCATAAGTGTATATATAGCGAAAGTAGCTATATCCAGATTGTGAGGCCCCGCACCCTCAAAACTAAAACCGAGTGAATGGAAGGGTGAGCCCCTGGAGGTAAATGTGGGCAGGGGCCAAGTCGAATGTTAATAACACAACTGGTTCTCCCCTTGTCCTCTTCTGGTGATGGCTTTGATGGTCCATTGAAGGGCGGGGGGATGCGGGGAATCAAGGCCGACTTGAGAAATATTGAATTTTCTGTTTTTCTTCTTTTTTTTTTACACATATGTTAAAAGCCTGTTTTAAAACTTGCTTCATCTTATGGAAACCAATAAAAACTTTGAAATCAAAAAGGTCCAGTGAATAAAATTCATTGAGCTGAGGTGGTCTGGGCAGAATGGTCACTCAGTTTGTGGTACCACTCAGTACCACAGTCTGCCGTTTAGGCTACATTCCCACCAGTAGCTGCATTACAATGCACGGCTGCTGGTGTGTGTTGCTGGGCATAGTGCTGATGTGTCGGTTGCGGCACATTACACTGTTTATATTTTATTTTTTGTTAGAAGTCCCTCTCCCCCACCCACCCCATTTGCATACACTTGCATGCGCACTTGTTGATTAGAATCAGATGGTGGGAGTGGCAGGGTTGGTTTTACTTTTTGTTTTATTTGTTTATTATCTTTTACTTTTTTTTTTTCATCTAACGTTTGCTATCACAAAGGGGCTACTGACAGCATTTGAAGGTGACAGGCTCTCTTTATGAAGACATCTGGGGTCAATTAGACCTCTTTTATCTCTCCTGCTCTCCAACACAGCCAATAAAGTACAGGAATGTGACTCCTCTTCTGTTTACCCGGCACTTCAGCCGCCTTCTAAACACTGAAGTGGGAAACGCTGCGAGAACATTGCTTCATGCTTTAGTGAACCCTGGAGTGTGTTGTAATATATTTCAATGTACTTGTTCTGCCAGTTTTTTTTTTCTAATAGGGACAATCTTAAAGTGTGACCTGTTGTGCTTGTTTTCCCAGTTGTGGCAGTGTACTTGAATGGCAGGTGGTGGGGTGTAGATGACATCTTACAGTCTTGTGTTCCCATCCAGGAGGGTCTTAGACAGGTGAGTATTGTGTGGTTATTTGCTCATGCTGAAAGCAGAACTAGAGAACCACATTTTGTTTCATCACTTATGAAAATTGATGCAAAGGAAACAGACATGTTTCACCTACCCCTCTGTAAAAACAAAAATTGTCTGCAATCTGGTTGCTACGGGCAGTATTATAAATAATATGCATATTTAATTGGATTTTCTGCCAATCCTTTTTAGGGTTAGATCCTTTTTTCAGGTGTTTATTGATGTCTGGAGCCCTTAATTGGGAGTTGTCTCCTCACCTCCTGAACTGTACATACCTTCAGCAGCCTCTGATACCTTGCTTTTACTGATGAATGCATGGTCATCCTTAACCACTTCAAGACCAGGTGTTTAGACCCCCTTCCTGGCCAGAAATATGTCCCCCTGCACTCCTCACAGCGTCTCCGGTCCGAATCAAATAATGGTGCTTGCAGTGATACTCACGGATGGCGCATCATCATCATACATATTGCAATAATTATAACCAACGTTTTCGGGGCCACGCAGGAACCCTTCATCAGGGCAACATTGTAACACATTGTAATTGGGTTCATGTATGATGGTTTGTCCGATTAAATGGACTTTATCGTTTGAATATTTTCCACTGAGTGCTGGTGATTCCTGTTCATTTGCTGCATGGTCATTCTGACATGCAAAGCTCTGATGTTTCTCAATAGTTCTTGCTGCTACCTCCCGCATGTTTCTGTTGGCCCACCACTGTGATGGGTTGTCTCACTGGCCAATAGAAATGCAAAGGAAGGAATGGGATAGGCAAGCTTTGGCACTGTTAGGAAGTACAAAAGTGTTGCCTGTCGGAATGGCCAGCATTTGGTCATAAAAGCTGGGTGAGGCTGCAGCATTTTTATTTGTATTTTGTTTTATTATCTTTAATGTATTCCCAAATACTACTGTGCAAACACCACATACACTATATTGCCAAAAGTATCGGGACGCCTGCCTTTACACGCACATGTACTTTAATGGCATCCCAGTCCGTAGAGTTCAGTATTGAGTTGGCCCACCCTTTGCATCTATAACAGCTTCAACTCTTCTGAGAAGGCGTCCACAAGGTTTTAGGAGGGTGTCTATGGGAATGTTTGAACATTCCTCCAGAAGCGCATTTGTGAGGTCAGATACAGATGTTGGACGAGAAGGCCTGGCTCGCAGTCTCCGCTCTAATTCATCCCAAAGGTTGTTCTATCGGGTTGAGGTCAGGACTCTGTGCAGGCAAGTCAAGTTCCTCCACCCCAAACTCACTCTATGTCTTTATGGACCTTGCTTTGTGCACTGGTGCGCAGTCATGTTGGAACAGGAAGGGGCCATCCCCAAACTGTTCCCACGAAGTTGGGAGCATGAGATTGTCCAAAACATCTTGGTATGCTGAGGCCTTAAGAGTTCCCTTCACTGGAACTAAGGGGGCAAGCCCAACCCCTGAAAAACAACCCCACATCATAATCCCCCCTCCACCAAACCTTACACTTGGCACAATGCAGTCAGGCAAGTACCGTTCGCCTGGCATCCTCCAAACCCAGACACGTCCATCGGATTGTCAGACAGAGAAGCGTGATTCTTCACGCCAGAGAACACGTCTCCACTGCTCTAGAGTCCAGTAACGGCGTGCTTACACCACTGCATCCAACGCTTTGCATTGCACTTGGTGATGTAAGGATTGGATGCAGTTGCTCGGCCATGGAAACCCATTCCATGAAGCTCTCTATGCACTTTTGTGCTAATCTGAAGGCCACACAAAGTTTGGAGGTCTGTAGGTATTGACTCTGTAGACAGTTGCCGACTTCTGCGCACTGTGCGCTTCAGCATGTGCTGACCCTGCTCTGTCATTTTACGTGGCCAACCACTTCGTGGCTGAGTTGCTGTTGTTCCCAGTTGCTTCCACTTTGTTATAATACCACTAACAGTTGACCGTGGAATATTTAGTAGCAAGGAAATGTCATGGGTGGACTTATTGCACAGGTGGCAACAACCTATCACGCTATCAACCTATCACCCTAGGTGCTTGATTTTTTACACCTGTGACCATGGTGATTGGAACACCTGAATCCAGTGATTTGGAGGGGTGTTCCAATACTTTTGGCAATATAGTGTATATCACATTCTGACCTTTCTAAATATTACAGGAGGAGCACTGGTGTTAAGTAGTAAAGCATAGCAACCAGTCGGTGTTTGGAGTCTGTAAGCCTTCCCTGTCGTACTATGGCTGAGCATATTTGGTGGGTGGAATTGATCAATTGGGATGGATTTTCCCAGCTTGTTGCATTTGTTTTTCCCTCAGAAAAGCTGGGGCCTGAGCACCCTCCCCTTCTTCCTCCATAGGCATAAACATGGTCTGCTGCAGATGTGTGTGGTTGCACAACAGTCATTCAACTGGCTGCCACCTAGTGTCTGCAGGCATTTATACAGTACTGAACTGATTAAAGGGAACACAATTTAGAATTTTTTATGTACCCATTTAAATGCATATTACCGTAGTTATTTTTTTCAGTATATTTTGACTGGTTATGTATGTTTAGAGATTTATTTAACATAGACATTTGATCTTGTGTGCATTAGACAAGACCTCCATTGTTTCCTGTAGGCACTGCAGTACAGTGCCAGCTTATCTCCGCTGGACCATTAGATGACAACAATTTTAGGCTATTCCAAGGTTTGTTAAGCTAGACTACTCCATGCACACAAATGCATAATACAACATTCTCTTCTCTATGTTCTGCTCCTGCAGGGTTTATTGCTTTGGCACTATAGCTCTTCTGAGTTCTCAGAATGAAGCTGGCATGGCTTATTTAAAGCCAAACTTCAGCCAAAAGGATTTTTTAGCGATAGGGTTGTCAAGTCAAGTTTTTTTTATTTTATGTCACCTTTGAGGGGATTTCCCCTCTCACCCTGTCCAGCTAGCACAGGAAGTAATGGGAAATCTTCCCACAGGGGATACAGACAGAATTTAAAGGTAATTTGTGCTTTGCCAGTACAGGACAAAGCAGCAGGCTAAAATTCCAGCCCTGCATGCTGATTAAACATGTCTTCATTGTGCTCCTGTGCCACTATTTTTACCCGTGGGAGTGGGGAGAATAAGTCCTGTGCAAGCTTTTTGGTCAGAGCTTATACCTACTTTCTCTGCATCTTGTCACATGTTTCCTATACTGGGTATAGCTATATGCACTTGGCAGCAAACGGCTACAAGGGAGCGAAAAGAAGGTTAGCATCCATCTTTTAGAAAAAATAAATGCACACTTCATAAAACATAAGAAGTGTGCACAGTAAAGCATTGCACATGCAATCAGTGGATCACGGATACAATGCTCTGGCTCCTGCAGATCCTCCCTCCCATCCCTGCCCATACCTCAGTATGGACTTTCAGTAACATGGATAAGAGGAAGAATTAATGGACTACAAGTGCGGTGATGTCACTGCATTTATATTCCATTGAGAACTAAAAGCCTCTCTGCTGTGAAGGCTGATGGGACTTGTGGTTTCTCTGTTCACAAATCCTGTCAAAGGATCTGTAAATGGATAATGCCAAATAAAAAAAAACCTCAACTTTAGCCTGCGGGGAGAAGATCCTAGCAATTCAGATAAGTGGGGGGGGGTTTGCAATGCAACGATGTTTTATCTAAATATGAGTGTAACATGAGATGGGGGTCAAAAAAGCAAATTTAGTCTTTACAATAAATATGCTGCTTTTCCCTGCATATGCAAATATTATTAATATTATTATTAATATTCAGGATTTATATAGCGGCAACAGTTTGTACAGCGCTTTACAATATAAGGAGGACATTACAGTTACAATAAAAGTAAAGGCAAAATGATGAGGGCCCTGCCCGTGAGAGCTTCCGTATATAATCCACAAATATATGTGGAAGTAGTGATTTCTCTGCAGAGGTCACCCAATACTGTGTCAGGCCTATGCAATCAGCAAAGCTCATTCTCTCCGCTGACTAAAGAATTCTGACTCAGTCGGGGGCTTGTCTTAGGGCTACTTCACACCATATGCAGTTGTGATGCAGTCCGTTCAGTTTGGCTGCTGCAGACAAAATGCTTACAATGCTTTCCTATGGGATTTCTGGTGCTCTATTTACACCAGTGCAGTCCGTTCCAATGCAGTCAGAAAAAAATACTGTTTGCCCTATTGTAGCTGCATCGGATTGCACCTGGACGCATAAAAACGGATCACAAACGCATGCAAAATCATCGGAACCCAATGGAACGCATTCCCAACGGAAAAAAAATTGACTGTGTCATCATCCAGGGACTTCCTCTTTGTAGGCAGAGGAGATATTGAAGTAATGGCAGATGTGGATGACGACATCTTTATTAAGCATGTGGAGGAGTGTCCATTCCTCTTTGACCCAAAGAGGAATGGACACTACAAAAATAATCAGCAGAAGATGGGGATGTGGAGGGAGATAACTGCCCAATTATACCCTGATTTCTCTGGTATGACCAGGGTGCAAAAAGAAAAATGTGGCGAGTTCTCTTTCTCAGCAGATTTGAAGTTTTCTATATAGCCCAGCTAGATAGTTGTATACCACCCATGTACTAGAGCAGTGGTGGCGAACATTGGCACTCCAGCTGTGCCAAAACTACAAATCCCAACATGCATCTGCCTCCGGGAGTTATGTCTGTGGCTGTCAGAGCCTTGCAATGCCTCATGGGACTTGTAGTTCCAAAACAGCTGGAGTGCCAAGGTTCGCCACCACTGTACTAGAGTATGCAGAATAAATCAGCCACCCCCATTTCCACTCCTCATATGTTTGTACTGTCCTCCAGTTTGCAGAAATAACCCCCTCCCCACCTAACCTGCACTTCCCCTTTCCATGGAGAAGGCATGCTGGTGTATTAGTCCTGTGTACTGTCCTTATGAATTTATTGCTGTTGACATAGTGATGTTTTATTTCCCCAAACTAATGTCATCTACAGCCTTGGTACTCAACTGGTGGGTTGCGACCCTGTGTTCAGTGGGTCCCCGTGTG